GTGGTCCATGTGCTTTGCTAAGCTTGTTCTAAGTAGGTGCTTTAGACCACTGAGCCATCTCACCAGCCCCAAGATCAGTGGTTTTTGTTATATTCAAAAGTTTGCAAACATCAGCACTAACTCCAGAACAATGAATACACTTCAAGATGATGAAAATCCCCATTAGCGGCCACGCCCAGTCTCCCCTTCCTTGTCCCTGGCAACCACTAATTTCTTGCAGTCTCTGTAGATATGTCCAGCCTGGACACTTCACATAAACTGAATCATGTAGTATATGACCTTTGATATCTGACATCTTTTACTTAGCATGGTAGCTTAAGGTGTATCCTTTTACGGTCCATCCATACATGTTTAAGTATTTCATTTCTTTTTAGGGTTGAATAATATTCCATTGGATCAAAATCCAATTTATGCTCCAAGTTATCTGAGAGTTGCTTGCCTCTTTTTTACTAAATTATTCAAATATCCATTGATGTGCCAGATTTCCCAACATAGGCTTGCAGAGTTGGAAAGGCACAAGGAAATCTAGGCCTTCGCAAAGAAAAGTAGGCAGTGTAGTTTCGGCTTCTTTTCGTTGACTGGTCACTCGCTTGCCTGGGAGGAGAAAATAGCAAAGAAATTCAGTTGCCTAAGGTTTATAAGCTGCTGTCGGACTGAAGCAGGTCCCTGGCACTATGTGAGCAGAGAGGAGGCTGCCATTGGCAGTGGCCTGCTGGCTGGACTCCAGGGGGCTTCACCAGCCTTCCCCTAGTCCACCCTCCATTCCAGGATTACCGGGAGGCCCGTCTGGTTCCCTGAACAATAGAACAAAGAGGCCTCCCTGAAGCTGCCGAAACCTGTTTGACAGAGATTGCTGCTTAGTGAATCAGGCTCCTGAAACTACTTCCACCTCCTCCCTTCACAAATACCCTTGGGCCTAGAGATGTGCCCTTCCCCACAAGTCCAAGCCGGGGCTTGTCCCTGAGAAGTTGAAACAGCACAATGGGGCAGAGGTGAGGGAGCCCCAGGAGCACGGTCTTTTGCAGGGGCTCATGGGCTCGCCCGTCAGGCTGCCAGCAGGAAAGCTTTTCCTGCAAACCCTCTAGGTAGTGTAGGCCCTGTAGTTAGTGATTTACCTGCAGGGCACTGATGTGTAACCCGGCACCAGGGGCCCGGCTGCAAGTTGAGGAATTTCACTCCTGCATGGGCAGTTCCTGGCATTCCTTGGCTTTTGCCAAGATGTTGGACATTCTTACCTCTTCGGACTGTGGCCCACCTACCGAAGAGGAAGGTTATCCATCTGGGAAAACATGCAGCTCTTCTTCCACAGAAAGCAGCATAAAGGAAACGCATCAGGGGATTTCTGGAGACCATCTCCTTCGGTTCTGAGGCCATTCTGTAGTGTGTGTCATCTGGATTCCAGAGTCACACCAGGAGAGGCTCAAAGGTGAAGCCAATTGTCCACTTCACTCTCCGTATCTCAGCCACGATTCACGTCCTGGCAGGCTCGCTGGATTTCACAATGCATCAGAGGACGATGAAAGCTGTGGTAATGGCATTGACCAAATGCTGTACGCAACCTAACGATCCAGGGAGGGAGTTCTATTTTTATCCCCATTTTATAGCCGAGGCTGAGAGGTGAACTCCCTGGGAAGCGGTGAAATTAAGCTGAGGGCTGTCTGGCTTTCCCAGCCCTCACCCTTAACCACAAGGCCCATTCACAGGCCATTGGGTGCCCACCCATGACCTCGCTCAGTGCACCTTTCTCCCCCGATGTTTTTCACCTCTTCCTCCAATATCTTAAACACAAGAGAAGGGAGAGTAAGGCTGGCTCAGTGATGCGCTCAAGGTCCCAGGACTGCAGGCCCAGCTTAGATTTCCTGAGGCTCCTGGGCGCTCTCCACCCATCTATCTCCTCGACAGCTGCAGGTTCTGAGCATTCGCTGTGCTGCTACAATGGAGAGGCAAGGGGAGGGTGGCAAGCACTGGAGGACGGTGTGTGGAAACACGAAGTGATCCGAGCCCTTAGGAGCTTGAGTGTCCAGTCAGTGCAGACAACCACACCATCCTCTCCCTCTCCACGGATCTGGTCAGATTTGGAATCTGACATTCTGAAGCAACTATGATGCGCATCTCTTCTGTGCACCGTAGACTCTGGTTGCAATCCCAGACTTCACGGCCAGAGCTTGTGTTCACCTTTGCTCAAAACTGAGGCCCTCAGGGCTCTAGAAGAAGGCACTGTCGGCTTTCTGGCTGTGGATCCTAATCTCTAGGTTTCCCTCCCCATGAGGACCTGTTCCAGGGCCATCGGTCGGCTGACTAGGAAGGGTATTTCCTGGGCCCTCTGCCCTTGCTGCTTGCCCAATGCAGCCCGTGGTGCTCCACCCGGAGCCTTCTTTCCAGCTGCCGTGCTCAGAGCACCAGCCAGGGCTGCTTGTTTGACAGGTTTGAAAAGGAACCACTCTTCCGTGCCACCCCGAGATGTGTCTGCATCAGGCTGATATCTTCTTCATAACGCTTGATGAGAGGTTTGCAAGGCAGTGTTTCTACATGAGCGCATGCAAGATAGAAATCCTCCAAGGGCACCAGGACTATCAGCGCTGACAAGCCGGAGGTGCAGGGACAGGCTGCTGTCCGTGAGAAGTGGAACAGACTTGGTGCTGGGCTCTGGAAGGATAGGAGGGAAGGAATGCATGGTGGGCTTTCCAAGCCCTGCTGCCCCTGACCTTCCGCTGCCTTCCATAAAAATGCTCTAGAGAGTGACTGTTCAATCTGACTTAGCAAGTCCAGTATGTGATTCTTTTTTTTTTTTTATTAATTTTATTTATTTATTTGTGTGTGTGTGTGTGTCTGTGTGTGTGTGTGTGTGGCCAGCTCAGCCCACCAGGGGGCGGGGCTGACTGGCATGTGGTGCTGGGGGATTGAACCGTGGTCCCTGGGCTTTGCTAAGCTTGTTCTAAGTAGGTGCTTTAGACCACTGAGCCATCTCACCAGACCCAGTATGTGATTCTTGTCGGGTGCTAAACATTGTGCCCAGCGTCCAGCAAATATCAATGCATGTAATTTTCACACCAACTCTTTAGGGAGGGACTGTAAGATCATTGTCCCAGTGTGCAGGTGGGGAAGCACGGGCAAGAGAAGTTAAATAACATCCCAGCCCCCATAACTAATCAATAGCAGAACTAAGATTCCAGTCCAACTGTCCAGCTCTAATTTATAGCCACTACTCAATGTTTATTTTCAGCATGCAAATGTATTATTTGACTTTTTTTTAATGGATTTAGTATAGGGTCTACAGGGTTTCACTACTAGATTGGACTTGTAGTGATCCTCCTGTTTCAGCTTCCCAAGCGCTGGGATTACAGGTGTGTGCCACCCCTCTCAGTCTCACTTACTGTCTCAGCGTGCCAGGGGATGGGCGCTGGCACACTACGATGGGGATTGAACCCCGGCCACTGCACTCTACCTAAGCAAGTGCTTCAGTCCGCTGAGCTATCTGGCTAGCCCCACATTTGGCTTTTTTTTAAAACCAATTCTTAGCTCCAAAAACCAGAAGACAGAGCAGGGGGGAAAAAAAAGTTAGGTAAACAGCTAGATATTCCTTTGTTTCATGAACTAGACCAAAGCCCTGGGGAACCATACAGTGTCCT